CTCTGCGGCCCAGAGGCCCATCTGAGGCTGGGAAATGCAAATGATTTCCTTCCCTGTTCTCAGGATCTCCAATAAAGGGCTTCCTTCCTCTTTCACGGCCAGCTTTCACCCCTGTGCCTCTGTCACCAGCCACTCCTGTTCACACTATTCTCTGGCCTCCAGAACTTGACCTTGCCCGGGAGTTGGGGGCCACTCGGCTCTGCTCAGCTTGCCAGTTCCTTCTCTTCTTATGCAAGCATTCCACACCCTGGCCTGGCCAGAGGCCCATCCGTGGCTGGGCACAGAACACTTGCCTTGTTGCCATGACAATGAAGCAAGCATTCTGCCAGGCCTCTCAGGAGCTCCCCCACCCCACCCCAGGACTTGGGGATTCTGGTGGGGCTGAGAGGACTGGGCACCGCTATCTTGTGGCTATGGGTGCCACCATCTTTGTGATGGAGTGATGGCTAATTTGCATATTATCCCTTTATGAGCTAGGATTAGAGTCCCGGTGCATAAAATTTGTGCAATTGTTGGGGGGTGGGGGCGTTCCTCAACCTGGCCTACGCCCTCTCACAGTCTGGGAGCCTGTGGGGAGTGGGCCTAAGCTGTCAGTCAGACATCTTTAGTGCTGCCACTGCTGCTGCACTCCCAGCTGTGAGCCCAGCTTCTGGCTGAGCAGCGCTCCCCCATGGGAGCCCACTGACCACGACGGGGCAGCTCCTGAATTGAGCATTTGTCTCCTGATGGTCAGTGTGCATTATAGTGACCAGTCATTCTGCAGTTTAATTGATTTGCAGTATTAAGTGATCCTCTGTATCCTTTCAAACTCCCCCTAAATCTGATTGATGGACTGATTTTGTTCTGCCTTGCTTTAACCTACCATACAGATGCAGGTGCAGCGGCTGGCAGCGGCTCTCATATTATCTTTTTATTATATATGGTCTAGTCTTTGCAGATAAGATACATACATCCTCCATATATTTTAAATCACCTCAAGGTTGCTTGTTATGCCTAATATAATGTAAATGGTATGTGAATAGTTGTTTTAATATAATATTTAAGGGATAATTACAAGAAAAAAGTCTACATATTGTAGGTCTAACAATATAGTACATGTCAGTAATAGGCTATTTCAAATATATTTGATCTACTGCTGATAGGATCCATAGTCGGAGAACCCATAGATAGGAGTGTTGACTGTCATATCAAAATTAATGCTACTTAAAAATAGAGATAAAAGGATGACTAAACATAGACTTAGCACCCTGAAAGCTTAAAATGAAGAAGTTTTTAGAAATATACAAATAACTCTAAATCCAGTTCGATTTTGACGAGAGCAGTATAATAGATGTATAGTTGATGGTGCTTCAAAGGAGAAATCAAATGAGGTTCTGATCATAGGAAATATCAACAAAGGACACGCATTCTGATTACAACTTGAAGGGTAGGGTTATCGATAATGGCAGATATTAATGAGAAAACGTTAGAAGAAGAAGAAATGGCATAAAAAAAGGTTCTGAGAGAGAAGCTGGGATGAAAGAGATTGTACCAATCAATCTGGTGCCATTAAGAAAAGCCCTGAGCTGAAGACCGCCTTCCATGAGGCTCCCATGGTGATATAACTCACTGATGAGGACAATTTGTACACGTGGCTGTTGGCCATAGTGAGCTTAGTGTCCCAAGTTTTTGAGATACAGAGTAGAGCTGGGAACTGAACTCATTTTCAAATGGATCACAATCCAAATCAACGTTGAACAAGTTAAGACAATGATAACTGTTCAATTGAGATCTTCATTTTTCACCTGAGCTTAGAGAAAAAAGTCACTTACATCCTAACCTACAAGCTACCCTCAATAGTTTCTCTGAGTCTTCTTGAGGGGTCCATTGAGTTAATTCCATGGGTCAGTTTATTCAGGGAGGTCTATAGTTTCACAACAGGAAGACATTTTTTAATGGAACTAATACATTTTCCTGTCTCAGGGCCTTGGTCCTTCCTTACTCTTCCCTCTCTGCAAATGATCTCTCACCTATCAGTGTGGCTCTCTCCCTCCCCTCTCTCCAGGATACTCTCACTGAGCTCTTCTCTGACCACCTTATGAAATGTCACAACCTCATCACAACCAGCTTTCTGTTTCTTCATAATCTTATTATCTTCTGATGAACTGTGAACTTTATATATTTATCTTGTTTGTTGTCTGATTTCCCACCCCAGATGGCTAAGGAGTGTCTCTTTTATTCATGAATGTGTCCCTAATGCTTAGAATAGGGCTTATGTATTAAATTAATAAATACTTATGCAAATGAACTACATGCAGTGTTTATTCTTAATACATTTTTTATTTATGAGAGAGAGAGAGAGAGAAAGAGAGAGAAGGGGGGAGAAAGAGAGGGAGGACAGGAGATGAAGGGAGATGAAGAGAGAAACATGGATGCAAACTCAGAACATGATCCCTTCCTACTGGCTGCTTCCTGCATGCTCCCTACTGGGGAGCTAGCCTGCAACCCAAGAATGTGCCCTGGCCAGGAAGGAATTGAACTAGTGACTTCTTGGTGTATGGGATGACACTCAACCAACTGAGCCATACTGGCTAGAGATAAATGCAATTTTTAACATGATAATTGAGACACTCATATGTTGCTTTAGAAGACTTAACTGTTCTAACTACTGTTTTTCATTAACTTTCCCGAGTTAAGGAGGATTTATAAAGCATCTATCATCTAACCAGCACTGTAACTGGTTCTTAAAAAGTAAATTGTATGTAATAGCTCCTGTATCTGAAAAAAGAAGGGAATGTCAAATAAAATATGAATACTATAGGATTTCAGCTGGCAATGTGAAGAAGGACACAAAGATATCCCGACATCTCCGGGGGTTTCCTCCAATAGAATGTCCGCTAGATCTAAATGCATAGATGCTCCCAGTACAAGCATGGGCTTTGAAATTACTCAGACCTAAATGCTGAACCCAGTGATCCGGTTCCATATGGATAACAACCCACACCACCTTGGCCTATTCATGAACTTCTCTGGGCCTCAGTGATTCCAAGGGTAAAAGGAAGACCACAGTCTTAACCTCACAGGGAAAATGTGAGCTATCAAATGAGGTCATCTGTGGAAACAATTAACCAAGTCCTTGGCACATAGAAGCAATTAAGTAAATAACATGTGGAATGAATTAATTCTTGATCAGAGGGGAGAGATATAACTAGAAAAATGTGGCTTTCTTCATTCTATTTCTACTGTGTTGTGCCCAACCTATGCCTTTTTTTTCATGATGGTTCCTCTTCCCTCCTTATCATAAAAATAGTGAATTGCACTATGTACTGACGGGTTCTTATGTAAATTATCATTCCCATTTTACAGATAAGAAAATTCAGTCTCAGCAGTTTAAGTAACATGTACAAGACATGAGAGTAAGCAGCAGAGTTAGGATTTCAACCCAGATGAGCTTATCTCCAAAACCTGTTCGGTTGTCTTGAGTCTCAGATGGCATAGTGATGAGATCCCCGCCTTAAACCCACAATCTAGATATTACACCTTTCTGAGTTTAATCGAACCTTATGCATAGACTCCATAATTGAAGGTAATTTTGAATAGTTTTTGCTGGGCACCTTTCACAAGAAGTTCATGGAAACCCATGAAGGTTAATATTTATTGAACATCTGTTTTGCAGTAGGCTTTGGTCTAATTGCTCCACCACTCAACTTATACATTCCTCATAACAACCCTGTATGGCAGATATACCTTTATCTTCACATTAGAGATGATGCAAACGAATGAGGGGGTGAATTCACTCAGCTTGTATTCCAGGGCTGGGGTTTAAACCCACACATTTAGACTCCAGAATCCACAGTCTTAATCATGAGGCTGTATCGCCCCTGATGCACTAGGACTGGTTACCTCTTCTTTTCGTATTTCTTTTAAACATCCAAGGAACACGCATTTTTATAGAGTAAATTGCACTTCCACGAACTTTGACTCTCCTACGCTTGGCAAGCCTTTGACTGCCCTCTGACAGTGATAGCTGCAATTAAATAAACTTCAAAAGCAGACTTGAATAAAATAGATGGCATTTATCATCTGATCAGAATCCCAAAATTTTAGGTCAGCACGGATGAAAAGTTGTTAGTGGTATATCCACACACACACACATACTCCCTCCATACACACACACACACACACACACACACACACACCATCATCATCATCATCTTAGAAATACCATATCGGTGGTCTCCGTTGCCTTAAATAGGCTTCAAGCTGTGCTTGTAAGGTACTGGAATTTAAACCATAACCTTGCATAAATTCAAAACCAAAAAGAAACATTCAAAAGGCATCTATCCTTTCTGTGCCATCCCAATTTGAAACATTCTAAGTGAAACGATCTCTGTGCAGGGAGCCTATTTTAAGAGAGAGCAAAGAATGTGCTCAGAGCAAGTTGGAACAACACGCAAGGCTGTGCAGGCTGGCTCCCTGCTCCTGTGCGGGCAGAGCCCTAAATCACAGGAGTCCGGAGCCGTGTGTTCCCCCTCACTGTGCCTGGGAAGGAGCTCTGTCCAAAACGGGAGAGGACTCCTACCCAGACAATAAATCATGCCCGCCAAACCTATAATTTGAAAAAAAAAAAAAAAAAAGATTTCCAATAAATATCTTAACTGGGACATGTGGCTATTAGCTACACAAAGCCCCCAAAATTTTCCATGATTTTTTTTTAGTGGACCTTTCAACTGTGACCAGTCAACACACCTCCCTCTTTACCTTTGTTTCTTCTGTAGGACCTGATTCATCGATGGCTCTGGAGCTCACAAAAGTTCATGAGACCACTACCCCCCCCCCCCCCCCCCTTTCTTGCTGTCCTTGGGACAAAGCCTAAGCTTACCAGGCACATAAGGTTATGGTTTAAATTCCTACTTCTTGTAAAAGTGCCCCCGGATCCCATACAAGCACTCCTGAGGTTCTTCTAATGCTCGAGGGAATAGAGCATCCTCACTCAGGACGCAAAGAAAAGGTCCTCTTACCATATATTCCATGTTGGCGGCCGGCGGGAACACCTTGCCCCGGACTTGGTTGTGGTAGTCGAGGATGGCGATCATGTCATTTTGCGAAATGTAGCGCTTCCGCCTGGCTTTGGGGATGTCCGCAGCGCCGAGCTGAGCCTTCAGAGCGGCTTCAATATCAGTGAAATTATTGGTTGGCGAGGATGAGTCAGTGGAATTGAGTAAGACAACAGCGCCGGCCTCACAGAGAAGGGAGAGCAGGAGCGCGCCGCTGACGGCAGAGGTTGCTGTCATTTTTGAGGGTGGAGGAAGGCACCGAGCTCCCTTTGCTTTAAATCAGAAAGGTAGAGTTAGCGTCTATGGAAGAGGGGGGAGGAAAAATAGGCCAGAGAATATTATTTGCAAGCATTGTTTGCTTTGGTTTTCTCTAAATAAATAAATAAATAAATAAATAAATAAATAAATAAAATTCAAACTCATGTTGAATTCAAGCCCAGGAGACAACCGATATAGTAGTCTCTCTGCATTTTGCTTGGTGTTTTTGAGGCAGGCTCCTAAGAGGAATTTCCTACAGCTAGAGAAAAATTAACAGTCCGACTACTAACCCTAACATGCATGACAGCCATTTGTCCCAAATTCCTGAACCACAAAATGCATATGTATCTTCAGATGGAAATCTTTAGAAATTAAAACTCATCTGAAGAGGGAAGAGGGGAAAAAAAAAATGCATCGCAGGTAACAGCAGAGAATGTGCTGATATCTCCCAGACACATCTGGGCATCAAGTGAGAGAAACATAATATAAACGAGCCATCACCATTCAAACTCATTTCTAAAAGTTAAAAAAAAAAAAAAAAAAAAAAGCTCTTAAAGTGTGAGCTACTTTAAAACCAATGCATGCAAAATAAACTTGTTGAGCTAAATAGCTTACCTCTGCACAATGCCAAAATGAATATTTTGTTCTTCCAAAAATGTAAAGTCTTTGCTAAGTTGTAGTATGAACTCTTGTAAGAGGAGTGTGCCTGATTACAAACTCTGAGAGAGGAAAAGTCTGCAAGGTTTAAATGCTGCTGGCTACAGGAACAGCTAACAGCTTTTATATGTCACCGTCGGCTACGTCCAGAAAGGGCAGTCTTTCTTAGGGTCTCTCCCAGCCAAATTCAAAGGGGAGGGGTTTGGGATAGAAAAAGAAAAGAAAAGAAAAAGAAAAAAAACACAGTGATTGGGTGGCAACCTTTTTTATGTGGGTGGTGAGGAAATTGAGTCACACCCACAGCTTACAAAGTACAAACCATAAAAGACAACCCCCTTTTTCTCTGGGCTTCTACCTTTGCTGTGAGTGGTTAATATCCCCCATTTAATAGTTTCTAGTTCCTGGTTCCCATACAGAAAGAAAGAAAAAAAAAAAAGTGAGTTCTTGAAAACACAGATGCCTGAGTAACAAGGAGTACATTTTTTAAGATGCTAAGTGACATGGGAGCTGGAAAGAGCAAGCCGATATTAAATCCAAAGATCAGCTCCCGCAGCTCATCTGGGTGGCCACAAACAGGATTCAAGAGAGATGCCAGGCAAGGCGGTAGTAGCCAAGCTATAGCATACGGTATTAGGATAATGGATGCTCGAGTGGTAGTTCTCTGTCTCCATGTGGCTTTATTCCTCTAATTTCTATATTTATTCTCTCTTTTGTTCCAACCCCCCACCCCCTTTTCTTTCTCTACAAAGCAAGGCAGCAAATTACCTGCCTTGTATGTAATGCAAATGGACAAGCCCATGGCAGAGGACGGCTGCCAAGAAAACATCTGTTTCAGGTTTGGAGCATATAGTTGAAATTTTAAGCAGAGAGTGGCTCAGCCTCTCATGAAGCATATTGGAGGGCACAGCACAGAGCCCACGAGGAATTTAGCAGCAGCAGCAGCAGCCGCCGCCGCCACCGCCAGCAGTCAGAAGTGCCTTCCTTCTTAGAAAGATGCCTTGGGAGCAAAATCCGTGTCTGGCAAGACAAGAGCCAAGAACTCGAATGTCAGGACAATCTGTAAGGAAAGCTCCCTCAGCAATGCCATGGGTCCCAGTGACATGAACAAAGCGTGGCCCATTCACAGTGAGTGGCAGCAGGAATCCTGGAAAATGCACATTATTCCGTTTACTTAATGCACTGGCATGTCCAGGGGGCCGGTGCGCCCGTCTCCTGCGTGTTTCTGCAGGAGGAGTACTATGTGAATTCGCAGCCGTCAGAAATGATGGTCATGTGGTTAGAAGCACACCGGACTGAGAGCCAAGTTTCCTGGGCTCTAGTCCCAGTTGGACCTCCAGCAATATGTGTGGCCTGATGCGCGTTCTTTAACTCTTTATTAGTGCATCGAAAAGCGGGAGGGGCAAGGTGCATTATTTCCTGCTGAGGCTGACTTCACCCAGTTCCCTAGGAGAGCAGAACCATGTTTGAAACAGGAAGTGCCACTGACGTTCAAAGTACAGGGACAACCTTGACATCCCAGGAGGGATGTCTGATGGCAGATGTCAAAGTTCAGGTGTTGCTACATTTTGATGGGTATCAAGCTTTTCACTGAAGAGGAGTCATGCTAGAGAAGCTCCATTTGCAATACTGTAAGCTGTAAACGAGACTCAGCATCGTGGTGTTGAAAAGGCAAGACCACATAAGGGCAGGCGGTGAATAGGAAGAGTGTGGAACAGCTGGAGGAAATGCACGTGACCACTCACAGCTGCAGATGTTTAACAGCTGGAGCTGTCCAGCTAGGGTCTCACCCCTTCAGGAAGGACTCATGGTGCCTTAAATGAATCTCAAGGATGTTGTGTCAAAGGTCTCTGAATTGAAAAGGAGGTTAGACAGCATACTCTTTATGAGCCGTCCAGCTCAAAGGTCCCAGGACATGTTGAGAAATTAGTGACAGCACTGATTAGCCTGTACTTTCCAACATATGCCATGTAGCAGGGCAGCATATAGGGGACAACAGGACTCTTAATGCCTACACAGTGGACATGAGCCTTTCTTTCTCCAGGGTGGCTGAGTTCTTGCTTAGAATCTCATACATATCACCAGCTGCTTTCAAGGTCAAACCGTTGTCATGCACATAAAGAGGTATTGTTCTATCTCTTGGGATTTGACTTGAGGGACTTTTGTGGGAATTAAAAAAAGCATTCCTGGAGAAACTGGTCTGAGCCTCAAATGGGTCTACTCTGAGAGAGTGGAGGGAAAGAGGAGGGGGAAGAAAGAGGGGATTTCTGAGAGCAACCTAAACATGCCCAATTACATGAGGGCAGACCTGGTAGTTGCTTAATCTTAAGACCCTCAGACATGTCAATGGTTTTAGATATCTTTCAGCACACATGGATTATATTGTGGAATTTGGGACTATTAAGTAAACCCACAAGGATACGGAATCATAAAAAAATAAAAAAGACCTGTGGGAGGAGAGTTCAGGATTCTGCTTCCAGGCAGATGTTATTGCCAGAAGTATTTAAAATGCTTTGAACATAATTTTAATTTTAAAATACTTGCAAAATGAAGAGGCATGCATCCAAGTTGTCAGTAAAAGAAATATTAATGGGCAAGTAGCAATGAGGTCGTTCTTTATGAGATCTCCTCTTTAAAAGGCCACTGACATATTTAGAAACCTTCAAGGAAGTGCTTGCCAACGGAGACAGAAGTGGAATGCATTTCGTTATATTACTCACAGGAAATATGTATACTCTTGGCAGCCAGTAATATCCACTTTGAAACCTGTGAGGAAGTTATTGAGATTTTAAAATTGAAATCAGGTGCATTGAAATTGTCTCAGAGTGGCCCACCTGCTTTAGCAAAGGTACTTCGATGTGTGTGTGTGGCTTTAGTCAAACTCCTTTCTAATCAAAAGGACCAGCAGCATCGACATCCTGGGGAGTTTGTTAGAAATGCAGAATTTCAGGCCCCACCCTAACCCACTAAGTCTGAAGCAGCATTTTATCAGAATCCTCAGATGATCCATCTGCTCTAAGTTTGAGAAGTACTGTATAAATTTTTTCGGAAACACACAGATATTACCTACAACACACATGCCCATTAAATAAGCTTTCTGCGGAAGTCCATTTGTCTGATATCATGGGAAGAATCAATGAGAATACAGGTATGCAAGTATCTTTGAAGAGGAGAACATAAGTAAATCTCTACTACATAAGGAAAAAAAAAAACATGACTTCATAAACCCTATTTATTATTGAATGCTTATGGATTTATCACAAGATTATGGAAACAATGGAAAGCAGTATAAATAGGAGTGTCTTGTAAATTGCAATGAGCCATATAAACAGAAACTATAACTTAACTGGTTATCCCCAGGACACAAGCCCAATTCATCCTCTTTTCCTCATTCTTTCTCAAATTGTTTTTAAATAAATCTGCAAAACACAGGATTTTTATCACTGAAATGTCTCAGAAATCTACTCCTTTTTTTCTTTTGTTATTATTATGACTGCTTAATCTTGTTATCTTATCTAGGATTACGCTAATGTCTCTCCTTTCATGCATTATCAATGCTGTCTTTGGTTACCTTCCTAAAAATCAAATCAAATCATTTTACTCATTTACAGATAACTCTGTTGGTTCTCCATTGTACATAGGTTCAAGTTCAAGTGCATGATTGGCCTTACAAGGTCCTTGAGGAGAAAATCAGTTTACCTTTTAAGCCTTATTTGCTGCAACCTTCCTTATCTATTTCTCTGCTCCAGCCACACCAAGGCCAATTAACCACTCTCTTTTTTTCTGTTAGCTTCAGTAAGTCAGCACCCCAAGTGTGTTTGTTCATTGGATGGGGTGACAGCCTTCTGCCTCTGATATGTATATGATAAAAGATCTTAGCAAACAGTAAAATAACACTGCATTAACCTGTCTTTAATAAATTATTTTATTTACTTAATTATAAGTCTCATATAGATGCCTAAAAGACCTTTGCAAACTTTTTTTTTTAAAACATATTTAGTCATTTATAACCACTAATCAACCTAAAATGTATATAGGGGGTAATTTGATGAAAGGTGGAAGCTTTGTAAGAATGGTAAAGAGTTTTGGTGTCGAATGTGTGTTTTTACATTTACTTTGTAGATATACACATTAGATGATCATGAATTTATTGAATTCAGAAAATGTGCAGAACTTTGGCTCAAGTAAATTCTTATAAAACATTTTCTTGTATGCAGAATAAACATACAAAATATTTCAAATATAAACTTCTTTATCTAATTAATACTATAGATAAATATATGTTACATATAGTTAGTTATATATAATTAGAGGCTCAGTGCATGTATTCATGCACCAGTGGGGTCCCTTGGCCTGGCCTGTGGGATTGGGCTAAATCTGACTCTTGGACATCCCCTGTGGGGTCTCAGCTTGTGAGAAGGCATAGGCCAGACTAAGGGACCCCACCATGCACAACTGGGGCCAGGGTGGGACATGGGAGGTTGGCCAGCAAGGGAAGGACTGCAGGAGAGCTCCAGGGCATGTCCAGCCTGTCTTGCTCAGTTCCTATCTCCTTATCTGCCAGACTCCAGCAGCAAGCTAACCTATTAGTCGGAGAGTCTTCCCCCTGGTAGTCAGTGCATTTGAGGATTCTGATAAAATGCTGCTTCAGACTTAGTGGGTGAGGATGGGGCCTGAAATTCTGCATTTCTAACAAACTCCCCAGGATGTCGATGCTGCTGGTCCTTGGGACACATTTTGATTAGAAAGGAGTTTGACTAAAGCCACACACACACATCGAAGTACCTTTGCTAAAGCAGGTGGGCCACTCTGAGACAATTTCAATGCACCTGATTTCAATTTTAAAATCCCAATCACTTCCTCACAGGTTTCAAGGTGGATATTACTGGCTGCCAAGAGTATACATATTTCCTGTGAGTAATATAACGAAATGCATTCCACTTCTGTCTCCATTGGCAAGCACTTCCTTGAAGGTTTCTAAATATGTCAGTGGCCTTTTAAAGAGGAGTGGCCTTAGAATATCATTAGCATATTACGCTTTGATTGGTTGAATGCACTACTGAACACTTAGATATTAGTTTTTTGTTATATAGGACATCTACACTAAGAAAATAGAAATATGCAAATTCACTGTACTTCCACAGCACCACCAGCCAATCACAAGTGAGTATGCAAATT